CCCCCCCCCCCCTCCGGACAATTTAATAATGAACTGCGGTATGAATTAAACGATATATCATTGGGCAAGAGAAGACGTAGATATCGCTGTTGATAAGAATCGGCGATCGCAGCGCTAGACGTGGACTATATGGGAAGTATTATTGTGAAGGTTACTTGATAAAATTTTGAGTCCACGGGGATTTCTCTGTTTTGAGGAATACCTTGTGCGCGGCCACGCATTCTCGGCGTACGCCGGGAACCGGCGCAGAAGGGAAGCTTTATGTTCTTACGGGTTTACAAGTAGCGACCAAAGTCATTGCTCAATTTCCACTTGAGTATGTGGAATCGGTAGAGATCAGTGAACTCGTCTAAGAGACGCTAAGGACCGTATAACTTTGGTTGCGTACGTCGGGCTTGTGGTATTGCGTGAATGTGGTTGTTGCGTCGATGGTCGCGGGGTGATGGGAAATCCTGGCGGCGTTCATTGATAAAGAAGACAGAGAAAAAAAGCAAAGGTATCTGTATAACAGAGAGAGAGAGAGAGAGAGAGAGAATGGTGCTAATTTGGAGGGTGCGAAGTAGACGTCGGGTACGTCGTAGGTCTGTTATTACTTGAAAATGTTCCGGCGTCGCAACCTCGATTACGCTGCTGGCGTCACTATTACTTTACGTTAGTAGTTGCACTTTCTCCATGGCATCCGTGCGAGCCTTGCTCTTAAACATAGATGGGAGAAAGGCTGAAAATCGAGCGAGACGTCGTGTCGTACTTCGGGAAACTAATTGGGGCAAATAGAAATAGCGATAAAAACAACTACCTTATTGCTACCGATGTTAACAAGTACATGAGTAATGGTTCACTCTTGGCGGTGAAAAAAATCGAAACCAGAGCAAAATACGAGGTACGAGCGTTTAACAGTGTCCGTTTGAATTCTTCAGGTGGTGAGATATGACACGCGTACAGTCGTACGCGCATGCGCCCTCAGAATCAGGGTCACGATAGGTGAAAATTGCTAGAAAACGAATTACTGAACAATTGCGCCTGCATAGTCATGTGGAATAGCATCGCGTGTACCGTGGCACGCGTTAAAGGAGTAGAAAGCTCTGGAGCGAGTCTGGATTGCAATGCGAGTAAACACGGGAAAGGTAATGCAGACGTTGTTTTACGGGTGGAAGATTCGAGAGGGAATTTTCGTCGTCGCAATATCCATTGGTCGTGTTTTAATTCCGTCTTCTAGCGATGCATTGCGTATAGTTAAACGCATCGCAATTTGGCGATCAAGGTTGAACCGCGTCCGTCCCTCCCTGACGTCTCCTCCGACCGTCGGCGCCCCACCTTGTCCCTTCCCCGGCTTTCATCCTGGCCATTGCACATGTCCGCGGTCAAGTTTAGAAATAGTACAACTGCGCAAGGGGTGACCGCACTGAACATTTTTTTATCCCTCCGCGAGAAAACACCCACGTGGGTATATAGCGTCCATATGCGCAGAAATGAAGATACGAAGAAACAATGTATGCATAGCGTGTTGCTGGTATATAGTATATACGCATATATATATATATATATGTATATGTATACCTGAATGCTAAACGGAGCGGGTGTAGATGGTCGACAAAGAAAAAAACGCGAGAGAAAAGAGAGAGAGAGGTTGGTGTGTAGAGTGAGATATATTAGGATGGTAGGAGATGGGATAAATGAGGTAAAGAGAAAGAGAAAGAGAGAGAGAGAGGGGGGTTAGAATGAAAAGAGAAGAGCAAAAAGGGAGAAATAGGGAGAGGACAGTGAAAACGTTGGGCTTCGGGTTGGCGCCCGAGGCTGGGCTAACAAAATTACATAAAAAGCGAAGGTGACCGAGGCTGATTCATGGGGGCTGATGCCCTCGTTGTCTGGTATTCGGCATGGGGTAGGGATCCCAGGAGCCCTGCCCTCTCTGCCAGAGTTCTTATTCCAGCGGCTTCTGCGTCACTTGACCTCATCCATGTCTCGCGGGCGTTGAAACTGCCAGGAGGGTAGGAGGGCGAAACTCTCGATCTCAATTGGTGGTCTCAAGTGTTTATCCGGTGGAGAAGGATGACGATAAAATACCTTATTCTCGGAGAAAGCAGAAAGAAAGGTTGCAAACAATATTTGCCGGACCGCCTCTACCTCCTGCCTCGCGTCCTAGTGAGACCAAAAAGCGCTCATCGATAACGACGATAACAGAGGAGAAAGGTTCGTCGTGAAAACAACGAACGTGGTCCAGGTCCCCAAGTTAATGACCTTTGACTTGCAAGGAGCAGCCATCGTTTTGGTGACCTTGAAGGGCTCATCGATACCGTCGCGGGGCTACCTGACGATGATCCAACTGACGCTGGACCTGGACACGACCGGCCAGCATCACGGCTCGGCGCAATCTAATTAGGCAAGACGCTCTGGCAATTCGGCGGAGACGTTGCGCTCGTTCTACTAGTGGGGTGACGCTAGAGTAACCGTCGGGAGTAGCAGGCGTCTCTGTGGAGGAGGAGGAGGAGGAGGAGGAGGTGAACGCTCGGGTGGGGGGAACGTGTGACGCAGGAGGCCGGAGCGCGAGTAAGGTTGGTCGTCGTAGTAGGGACCGTGAGTAAGTAGTGGGCGAGCAGGTCTGATTCTGATCACTGGTAAACGTAGACTCTACGTAGGTACGGTGTATATGCGCCTGATACGACTCCGAGCAAGTGGTGGTAGCCCGAGCAGACGGACGCTAATACGAACGGAGCATAAACCGAGCATAAAGCGTTGAGCTACCTACTGCTCAACGAGAGGGAGGAGGTCTCCGAGCCTTCTCGGCTCTGTCTTGACTCTTCCCCAACCCTAGTGCCCCCTCCCTAATTTAGTGGCTCAACGTACCTCCTCTCCTTCCCCTATCTTTTGCCTCCTGCTATCCCTCCGTCGCCCCTCTTCACCGTCCTGCCGATACTCCGCTCACGCTTCCCCGACCCCACCCACACTGCCCCTGCCTTCCTAGCATCAAACTCCAGCCAGACGACATTGGGGCCAGAGACAGAGTTGTGAGTTTCACGCAGCGGCCACTCAGTTTGCAGCGCGACACTGCACCGAGCGGACGTGCATCTCGCTTAGCTCTCCCGGATCTGTATACAATATACATATATACATTGATATATTGAATATTGAACTGCACAGATAGATTGATATCGTCGTCGTGAACGCCGAAGCATCGATCGAACCAAAACATTAGTGACTTGAGGACTGTCGGCTGGTTAACTGGTGCGACATAGACACATCGATTAATACTTCGTAGCATCGTCTGCGAGATCGCGATCGCAAGTACGTATTACGCGCGTTGAAGTGGTACTGCTATAATAAATAGTAGGAAGAAGCAAAACAGAAGAAGAAAGCTTGAGGAGTGCTCCAAGGATTTATCGGGAGACTATAGGAAGACTGTGATTTTATTTTCGGACAAACTTTTCAAATCTTCATAACCGACAGACGCGCACTTTGGTTATCTCAGAGTAGCCGCGTGGTTTAGGTATGTTCGGCGCGGCAGTTTCAAAAGTTTTACCGTAACGCGAACGAGGAGATCAAAGGGAAGGAAAATCATCGGATCCGAAAAAGATCATCCCCGTAAGGACTACCTACCGTAAAGTGGATCACAGTTCTTCCGTGCCGTTGTACTTGGCAGCACCTTTCAAGATTGGTGAGTAGACAGTGATACCGACATGTCTCATGTCTCAAGTATTTAATACCTCAGACTTGTCAGTCGTCTTGCGAAGCACACGTGTTCCATGCACATTCTATACGTTTCCATCGTCCATACGTAAAGCTCGGTAACGTCAGTTTGTCATCCACGATCTTCGAAATTCACCGCGAATTCAAAAGCCACGTGACTCGCCCGTCTGTGCACTCTCCTCGATCAGTACCCAAGCCTAATATTTCAACCGTTTGAATTCTCCGTAATCTCAGCGTCGAATGACGCAATCATGGCATCGCTCTCGTAAACTTCGACCGTACATGAAGTAACCTGTACGTAGCCTGCCCTGCCATTGTTCCCCGTAACGTTCATATTGACGTTCGCCTATGTGATACTCGTATCTTATCGTGTTTCCGACTGACAAAACAGTATCAAACACGTCGTACGATCGACCACTAATCCATTTACCTGAAAATCACGTAAAATCGCCTGACGTCGTGCGCCGCTCTTTAGATCGCGATAAAAATAAAAAGGTAGCATTGCCTCTCCTCCAAGATTCTCGAAACACGGTAAAGTCCCGTCGCAACCTCAGTTCAAGTATTAACGTGTCCATCGGTCGTCTGGAAATTCCACGAGTCCCCAGGACACGACTCTACGGTTCCATTGTCTTAGTCATAGACTCCAACGTTATGTCATTACACTTTGGACTAATCGAGCGCGACGGACACATAACGATCAAAGTCGAGTCCTCGCGTTGGAGTTTCGATGCGTGTAACTCGTTGCGTTTAATATTCACTGAGAAAGCGTCGCGGACGCCTGCGAAATTAGTGTTTGCTAGTCTCCAGCGAGCACGTGGCTCGCAGAAGCATTGTTCCCTAACCTTTTAACCCGTGGAACGTGCTGGCAGTCCTGTGTGTATGCTCAGAAATAGCGTAGCGTCTCTTTTGACTTGTTCGAAACTCCTGCCAATCTCTGTTCCCCTTCTACCGTTCTCTACTAACGCAATTATTGTACGTATTGCCACTTCTACCACCACCATCGCCACTACCCACCGACCATCGCTAACGGTCGAGGAGAAGGTACTGTATTGTATATGTTGGCAGAAGTGGGCCACGGCCTAATTCGCAGTTCTCGCGTAACCTCGACGTTTCAGATCGCTCGTACGCGTTTCAGCGAGAAGCTCGCGTGCTGCGGTGCCCCCTGGTGGTCCTTGCGGGTTACGATTTTTCCTCTCGCCATCGCTTCTGGCTCGTACGTAACAGCACAAACAAAATACGACAGCGCAAGTAAAATTCGTGATAGCTCGCAGGAGAGCTCGAGCCAAATAGCCTGTATGGGGTAATAGAATTTGATAGGTTTAAGCATACCTACCTTAATGCTGCTGTTGCTTAGGTTATTTGTATTGGGGTCAGCTTTTTTTTGCGTCACAATTTCCCGGCCTCTTATCTTCGTTCGTTAGCTGATAAGACCACCAGTACGACTAATTTGAACGAGCTCGTCGGTTTTTGTAGTATCACGAGAGAACAGCCCGCGGAGGAGGCGTTACGCAATGCGGTGGCATGGGTTTACTCTTTTAAAAGTTATGGGCCTAACGTTCTCGTTAATGCCGGTAACCGTCGCTGTAACGTCAACTGGGAACGACGCTAACTTCTTTACCGGCAGAGCGAATAAGATAACGCGGTTATTTGAACTCCTTGAATCTTTCACCCATTCGGGCGCATTCGTTTTTGCCGCGGATGAGAAAAGTCCTTCGACTCTCTCGCTCCTTTTAAGCGCCAACGAACCTCCGACGGCAGAGAGAACCTTAAAACGCGTGCACGATATCGGGAGCTCTGACGAGTGACTTTTAATCGCTCTCACGTAACAGAATGCGATATCTTTATCGTGTTTTGAGAAAATATTATTACAATGAACTGATTTACCACTTTTTCTTACTCCTTCGATAGTCCGATACTTCGCATTAGCCTTTTTCCTCCTGGCTTCAACCGTTATCCCTCTCTCGCTTATTGAACGAACTTTGCCTTCTCTCTCTTTCTCCCTGCGCGTTGACACTGCCAACTCTGTAATTGCTGACATCGCATACGTGAGTCTAACGTCCGTCCTGGAATATTTGAGGCACGCGCTAGTTCGTGGTAAGCGATAAATATTGGAGCAAGAGAGAGAGAGAGAGACAGAGCGACCGG